AACAATGACTCCCGGGCCCAAGATAAGAAACAAAGTGATCAAGGTTCATCAAGGTCACAAACATGTTATCGGTGTGGATGTACGGGACACTGGTCTCGTACATGTCGTACACCAAAGCATCTGGTTGAAGCTTACAAAATGACGCAAAAGAAAAATGATAAGCAACCGTCAAGAAAGGAATCTCATCACACCAACACTGATTTGCCTGAAGCAAATGAGTGATGAATGATGATGATGATCTTTTAAAATATGAGCTTGAAGACTTTGGTGATCAAGAATGATATGTCTTATGCTCTTGGTTTATGAACCTATTTTTCGTATCGTTTTTTTTTTTTTGGATTATGAACTTATGTTTTTTTTCATATCGTTTTATGACTTGATTTCTATGTTTTCTATTTTATCATGATGAATGGTTCACCTCTTTTTTTAACCTTCACATGCTATTTTTTTGTACCAAGGCATTGGTTAATTAGTAACGAACAACCACTGTTCGAGAAGTAACCCCGAAGATCTTACAACATTACAAAGTTGTTGTTCGCACAATGGAGCATGAACCAACATTGTGTTTGGTGGATAGTGCAACCACGCATACTATCCTAACGGATATGAGGTTTTTTCGTACCTTAAACAAATCAAGTAGTAATATTACTACCATTTCTAATGATCAGGTACAAATAGTGGGCTCCGGAAGAGCATCCATCATCCTCCCTAAGGGTACAAAGCTACTAATTGAAAATGCTTTGTTGTACCCTCAATCTAAACGAACCTTGCTGAGTTTCAAGGATATTCGTTCAAATGGTTTCCATATTGAAACCAAGACTAAGAACAAAGAGGAGTTCTTGACCATGACTCAGTTGATCACTGGTCAAAAGCGGGAGGTTGAGGAACTTGCCTCTTTATCCTCTGGGTTATATTATACCTATATACAACCCAGTGATTCATTTGTGGCACTTACCATGAAACTAAAAAATCCACATTCTTTTCAAATGTGGCATGACCGTCTGGGTCATCCTGGGCAGAATATGATGGGCCGGATCATATCTAATTCTGCTGGACATAACCTGTCTAGATCTCAGGTACTTTCGCCAAATATGTTTACATGTGTGGCTTGTGCGAAAGGTAAATATATTGTACGCCCGTCGCGTACTAAGGTTGGACATGAATCGCCTATATTTCTGCAGAGATTGCAGGGCGACATTTGTGGACCTATTAGTCCACCTTCTGGACCATTTAGATATTTTATGGTCCTTATTGATGCTTCCACTCGTTGGACTCATGTTAGTCTACTGTCCACGAGGAACAAATCTTTCGCTAAATTTGTTGCGAAAATTATTGAGTTGAATGCCCAATTCCCAGATTATCCCATTAAATCAATAAGAATGGATAATGCTGGAGAATTCACATCAACGGCTTTCAATGATTATTGTATGGCCTTGGGCATCAAAGTGGAGCATCCTGTACCTTATGTCCATACTCAGAATGGCTTGGCTGAGTCTCTGATTACGCGTATTAAATTAATCGCTAGACCATTACTGCAGAAGTCTGGTTTACCAGTCTCATGTTGGGGACACGCAATATTACATGCTGCAGCTTTAATTCAAATCCGACCTAGTGCATATCATGATTATTCCCCCTTGCAACTACTACGTGGCGTAGAACCTAACATTTCCCATCTGCGTGTATTTGGGTGTGCAGTTTATACCCCCATACCACCTACAAATCGTACCTCCATGGGCCCGCAACGAAAACTAGGTATATATGTTGGTTACGAATCTCCTTCCATCATTAAATACCTAGAGCCCATGACAGGAGATCAGTTTACCGCGAGGTACGCTGACTGCATTTTTGATGAAGATCATTTCCCGGCATTAGGGGGAGATAAAAGACCTTATTTAACGAAATGCCGAGAAATCTCATGGGATGAAAAGGATCTTCAGTATCTAGACCCACGTACTAGTCAAACTGAACTAGAAGTTCAGAAAATTATTAATTTGCAAAATTTAGCAAATAACCTGCCAGATGCTTTTATTGATAACAGAGGAGTGACTAGGTCCCATATCCCTGCTGTGAATGCTCCTTCGAGAGTTGAAGTCTCCGTGGGACCAAGTATGTACACTGACACTCCCCATCGCCAGAAGCGCGGGAGGCCACTTGGTGCAAAAGATTTAAATCCACGGAAGACGAGAATTGGTAAAATATCTCAGTCACTCCAGAAAAATGTTAACCGTCCTGAAGACGACCGTCCCGAAGACGGAGAACCCAGTGAACCTGCACGTGCTCTAAATAATACGAACACTGGGAATGCGGAACATCCAGATCAAAATATTTTGGGAAATGACGATGATCTGGTTGATGTCAATATAGAAACGGCCATAAATTTTGTTGATACAGGAGAAACATATAACAGAGATTTAATAGTCGTCAACGACACTTTTGCCTATGCAGTTGCCTGTAATATTCCACAAAATAATCTGGATCCAGAACCAAAGTCAATAACCGAGTGCCGGAAGCGCTCTAACTGGTTGAAGTGGAAACAGGCAATTGAGGCAGAGCTCAACTCGCTTAATCAAAGAAAAGTTTTTGGTCCCACCGTACTTACCCCAAAAGATGTGATCCCAGTAGGATCCAGGTGGGTATTCGTACGGAAGAGGAATGAAAACAATGAGGTGGTTAGATATAAAGCGAGATTGGTAGCTCAGGGGTTCACGCAGAGACCCGGAATTGATTTTGATCAAACATACTCTCCTGTTATTGATGGCATCTCATTCCGCTATTTAATATCATTGGCAGTAAGTATGAAATTAGATATGCAGTTGATGGATTTTCAAAAAAAAAAAGATATGCAGTTGATGGATGCAGTGACAGCTTACCTTTATGGGTCACTAGATGCTGATATATACATGAAAATACCCGAGGGTATTCACAATTCCAATATGAGGGATAAAGATCGAAACATGTATAGCATCAAACTTCAAAGGTCATTATATGGCTTGAAGCAATCTGGTAGAATGTGGTATAACCATCTGAGTGAATTCCTCCTGAAGAAGGGATATGTTAAAAATGATATTTGCCCTTGTATATTCATTAAGAAGTCATCTAATGGCTTCTGCATTATATCTGTCTATGTCGATGACATGAACATTATTGGAACAAAGGAAGACCTTATAGAAGCATGTTCATGCTTAAAAGCAGAATTTGAAATGAAAGACTTGGGAAAAACCAAGTTCTGCCTCGGCCTACAGATCGAGCATCTTCCAAATGAAATTTTCATTCACCAAGCCAACTACATTAATAAATTATTGGAGAAATTCTATATGGATAAATCTCATCCCCTTAGCACCCCAATGGTGGTCCGATCCCTTGAAGCGGAAAAGGACCCATTTAGACCTAAGGAGGATAATGAGGAGGTTCTAGGACCTGAAGTTCCTTACCTAAGTGCTATTGGAGCCTTGCTTTACCTGGCTAATTGCACAAGGCCTGATATTGCCTTTTCAGTGAATTTACTTGCTAGATTTAGTGCATCTCCGACCAGAAGACATTGGAGTGGAATAAAGCATATCTTTAGATATCTCCAAGGGACAAAAGACCTTGGTCTTTATTTTGAAAACAACCAGGACATTATTTTGAAAGGGTATTCAGACGCTGGTTATATGTCTGACCCTCATACTGCTAAATCGCAAACTGGTTATGTTTTTCTTTGTGGAGGTACAACTATATTTTGGAGGTCCATTAAACAGACCTTAGTTGCTACCTCATCTAATCACTCGGAGATAATTGCTTTATATGAAACCGCACGCGAATGCGTATGGTTGAGATCACTGATACAGCATATTCATCGCTCATGCGGAACAATGAGCAATGTTGATTCCCCGACTGTCCTATATGAGGACAATGCGGCATGTGTTGCACAGATGAGTAACGGGTACGTTAAAGGAGGTCTTACTAAACATATTGCTCCTAAGTTCTTTTACCCACATGAACTCCAGAAGAGTGGTGAAATACTCATTGAAAAGGTTCGCTCTAGTGAAAATCTGGCAGATTTGTTCACTAAGTCCCTGCCTACATCCACTTTTGAGAAGTATGTTTATAAAATTGGGATGCGGAGTCTAGGAAGACTGTTGTCTTCAGGGGGAGCGATAAACTCGGTCTAGGAGACTTTTAAATCCTGAAGATGATGCCCAGAAGGCTTATGGTTGTACTCTTTTTCCCTTAGCTAAGTTTTTTTTTTTCCCACTGGGTTTTTCTTAGGCTAAGGTTTTTAACGAGGCAACCGATGCAACACATGATTGATACTATATGTACTCCTTTCCTCGACTAGGTTTTTCCCATAGGGTTTTTCTAGCGAGGTTTTTAACGAGGCATGAGTATAATTATTTAATGGCCAAGGGGGAGTGTTGTAAATATTTATATTTATGACCATTAAACTATTTAGACCTTTCATTTGCTTATCATTTAATCATGTATTGATGTTGTGTACTTGAAAGGTTGTATATGACCACTATATAAAGTGAGTGAAGATGAATGAAAGGGACACACTTACATGATGGTTATACTATAACTTGGTGTTCTTCTCCTCCTTTTTTCTTCTCTTTACATATACAAACACATACATATATATATACGCAATTCCGGGTGTATAATTGTGCAAGCATCACGCGGGGACTAACGAGTGAAAAGGCCAAAACTTAACACATCTATATTTTTGTATATATTATTATTATTATAGGTTAAAAAGTAAATTAAATGAGTAGAATCCAATGATGCAAAGTGTTGGGAAAGAGTAGAGATTCCAGCATTTAATTTGAAGCCCAAATTGAGTGGGAAGAAGGTGGGGGGAATAAAGACTAAAGAGGGAGCAAACGCTCTCTCTCACTGGAACAGAACGTGGAACCATGTCCAGGGTTGAGGGTTGGCTTTACCGCTAAGTCGCGCAAGCCTTAGATAAAGGGAATTCATTATTAGATGTGGACCCCACATTTCGCTAACGGCTCAAATCCAACGTCTCTCTCTTTGACTTTCTCTTGGCACCCAACTCTGATACTCACTCCCACCACTCTGTTTCCCTCCTGCATTTCTACTCCACTCTCTGCCCTGCATTTCCCTCGTTTTTCTATTTTTGGTCATTTTTTCCCCCAAAAATACAACAAATTCGCTTCTTGGAATTTAATTTCTATATCTGGGAAATTCAAAAGTTCGCGTTTGAATGGATTGCGAGAGAGAGAGAGAGAGAGTGAGGAATATAACGTTAAAAATAGGAAATTCCGCTAAAGAGCAGAGCTAATTCAGCGGCTGCAATTTTGACTGTCCTACAAAACTGCTTATTCCATTCTCATTAAATTTACCTTAAACGCTGCTATACGCCTAAACCCAATCTGCTCTCAATCCTTATCCAGTTTGCTATTCTATCCTATGATTCCATTCCTATCCTAGGAGGGCCTTTTAGTTTAGTCATTCTTTATGGGTTTTCCCTAAAACCTTACTCATTCTAATGATTCTTTCTTTCTTCTTCTTCTTCTTCTGATTTGAACGGTATGGGTTCTTTTCTGTTTCTCCATTCTTGACTTGACTGTGTTGTTCTTCTCTCAAGGGTCTGAATCTGAAAATCTTGCAGGAATGGCTTCTTCTCAAGTCCAAGTTGCGTCGTCTTCACCGTTTGGGTGCGTTCTGAGAGATCGAAACCGGCGGGATCGTTGCAGCCCCAATTCCAAAGGGTCCAATTCGTTCCAGAAGAATCTCAAGGATTTAGTGCATTCTTGCATTCCCCGTCAGCCCAGGAATTTCAATTCCGATTCTGATGAAAACCAGGTTGACCCGACGGACTTGTGGGTTCATAAGCCCCAGTATCTGGAGAAGAAAGACGAAAACGATCAGTGGAACAGTAATAATAAGGCTTCAGAAAACTGGAGAAAAGTCAAAGACGTCGTTTTTTCGCCGCCGCCGGAATCCTCCGTGGAGATACCGCATTTGGGCGGCGTCTCTTCCCTCGTGCGGAAATGGAGTGATTTCGAGGCGGAGGCGAAAACTAACAATCCCAGAGGAGGCGAAGAATCTTCCATTGACGGAAGGTCCGAGGCTCAGATAAACGAAGAATCTTCAATTGACAGTTGGGAATCCGACAGGACGCCGAAGAGCGGCCCGCCGTCGGATCGCGGGATAGATTCCGACGCTACGGAGAGAGAGAGGATCAGGGTCGCCGATATAATCAGGAAATTGTCCTCCAGTACCGCTGGCGAGAACCATGATCGAGAACCCAGCATTAATGAAGCAGCATTATTACTGCCTCGGATTAGAACATCATCGGATCATCAGCCGGAGCAGCTCCGGTGTTTCACTCCGGTTCTGAACTCTCCCCGCATCATCAGAGGCCGCCAGGCTTTCAACTCTTTTCTTATGCAAGTGGAGCGCGAGAGAGCCATGGAGCTTGAAGGTCTTACACAGCGTAAAGCGGTCTCTAAATTCCAACAGAAAGGCCGCATTCAGGTACCAATAATACTAATCCTATCACCATTTTCCCTAATTCTTGATTGTTGAATTGCTTAACTAGTTTAGCTGAATTGAGCTTCCTTCCATATGGGCGGCTTATAAAGGCCAAATCTAGCACCCAGTGACTAGGCAATTGTTGGGTGGAGGCGGATAAAGGTCAAGTCTAGCACTCGGTGACGGGAGATTATTGGATGGAGGTCGATTTAGGCTAAGTCTAGCACTCGGTGACGGGAGATTATTAGGCGGAGGTCGATAAAAGCCAAGTCTAGCACTCAGTGGAGGAATTATTGAGCAGAGGCCGATAAAGGCCAAGTCTAGCACTCGGTGACGGGGATTATTGGGCGGAGGCCGGTAATTATTGGGCGGAGGCCGGTAAAGGCCAAGTCTAGCACCCGGTAATTAGGGAATTGTTGGGCCTAGGCCAGTAAAGGCCAAGTCTAGCACCCAGTGTCTAAAAAATGTGATGGCGGACTATAATATAAAAAAGTTGCACCTTCGCTACTAGCTATAAGTTTTGGCATAGTGGTAAGCGCTTCATGATACAGGCTGTGCTTCGACTTAAACTCCTAAGACACGGGGCGAAAGCCAGAGATGAGCCACCATCAAGTAGCACCTCGCCTGAATCAAATAGAAAACCGCAATGTTCAATATCCCATCTCAGGTGAGATCCTCAAGAATCATGAAGTTTAATGGTAGTGTTCTTGTATAACCATTGGAATTAGACTGCATTTCTTTTCTATATGCAAACTACTTGTCATTACTGTGATGCTTAAGATGAATGAAACACTTTTAGCTGTTCAATTATTCTTCAATGTGTCATAGCACTGAATAAGTGTATTCCAGGGGTTTACTGTTACACATTAAGCTAGCAACCAACCATGATTAGGTGAAATATTTACTGCTTTGACTGTGATTAAAAATGCTTTTGCATTAACCATGATCCATTTCAGGGAGAGATTCAGTGCTGGAGTTGAGCCCAGAAAAGCTCCTGATAGCAATGCAGAAGCTGGAAAAGTTTCCGAATCCAATCAATCGAGACAAGATCATAGTACCTCAACAAATGGAAATGTTGGACTCAAAGAAGAGAATCATCCTCAAATTAATAGTGATCCTCAAAGAGAGCTGTCAAAGAATAGACAAGAAAACGGCTTGGAAATTCGCCATAGGGAAGCAGTAAATATTGGAAATGTTTCCACATCTTATCAACTTCAAGAAAGGGAGTGTCTCGATGACTTGGTTGGGCCTCACAGAGAGGTAGCAGCAGCACCTGACCCGTTGATCTCACGAGAAGAGGAACTTGAAGTTTATCATAATTGTGAACAAGTTAACTCCACTTTACAGCATAGTGATCCTCAACATCAGATTGAAGGAGCTAGTAATGAATTTTCAATTGATTGGGAAGAGGCAATAGCCACTAGTCAACAACCAGTAGAAAGTTATTATGACTGGGATGATCAACAGTCTGGTTTCCCCCAACAACAAGAATATGATCAAGATTGGATAATCGACGTTTCTCGCCCACGCAGTGAATGGGAAGATCTCAGGCAAGTAAGGTACCAGGAGATGCTTGATCCCTTTGAAAATAATGATATACGAGAACTCCTTCAAAGGTAAAAGCCCCACTCAAACCACTTTCTGCTTTTTGCTGGCTCATTTTGTAGCTCTGTATCTAACAGACTTGAAATTGGTTGAAAATTTGCATTCTATTTGAAATAACTAGCTTTTGCCTCTTTAATAAGAGGATTGGCTTCTCTTCTTACTTTTAGCACTGATGCAATGAAAATTATGCTGTGAATCTTGCATAGCCTCAGAAATATTCCGGTGTTCAGTACTTGCACATAACTGTCCTTTTTCCTGTATGTGTGCAGGAGAAGTGTTTCAAATTTTCTTTCTGGCAGTCTGAGAGACAAAATAGATGAGATTATTATGTCTCGCTCACAAAGAGTAGTGGTGGCAGACTATAAGAGTGAGGACATAGTTCAAGGTGGAGAAGAAGACAAATATGATGAAAGTGGTGATGAGTATGAAGTTGATAGCCAGACTCAAGAACAACCAGAAGACGAAGCTGCAGAAGTAGTCGATCACACTTGGGGCCATAATCTGATAGCAACTACATCCTTACCGCAATCTCAATCAGCTAAGTTATACTCCACACGCCATCCTTCAATCGTGAGTTGTTCTTTTTCATTCTTTTATATTGTTCCGTTCAATCAAAACTTAGTAGATATAATAATATCTATCTTGCATTGCCAGGAAGTAGAACTCATATATGAATTAAGAGAGCATATGGAACGACTCCATCAAGAGATGTCTGAAATACGACGTTCATTAAAGGATTGCATGAACATGCAAGCTAAATTACAAAAATCAATCAAGCATGAAGTTGCAGGTGAGCTTGGAAGATGAGATTTTTATCCTTCAAAGCCAAACACTCTAAATAATTTGTCTAAACACAAATTAAAGATGGTCTCTTGTATAATCATATCCTTTAGATTTCTAATTAGTGGTTTTGTTAATGCAGGTCAAAAGAGTAGGAGGAGGGGTTCGAGCAACGGAAACTGCTGTATTTGCTCTGAGATGAAAATTGATTCTCTCCTGTACAGGTAAACTATATGAGTGTTTCAGTGAGGTAATTGAAAGCCATAATGGTTTATTAGTAATCCTGTGAGCTTTTCAGATGTGGGCATATGTGCACCTGCTTCAGGTGTGCCCATGAGCTAGTTTGGGGCAATGGAAGCTGCCCAATATGCCAAGAACCAATACTAGATATCGTACGTGCTGTATATGCTGCTCCATGAATTGAAGGAGAGTTTACGGTTTACCACAAGTTGTTGCTTCACTGGAGCCTGCCTTAACTCTCCAACTCTCATCTGCCCAGTGAAAAATTTAAATTAGCCAAGGGGGAGGAGGATTTAGTACTGGTGGAGTCTGCCTTAACTCTCTAATTCTGTCCACTGAAGAATTAGCCAAGGGAGAATTTTTTATCTTTTTGAGTGCTTATCCCCTAGGCTTTATTTCTAGCTTGTTTAGCACCCATTTCTCTTTAATGTGCATAGCCAGGGCTGATTGACTCATGAAATGTTCAATAATGGTTTTGTTTGGTAAAATAGTTAGCTTATCAATCAATTTTGACTTATTTGATCACTATTAATTGTTTGACTTGGTTAAATAGACAATATAAGTGTTTGATTAATTAGCTCTTTGTAACAGCTTATTGCTCCAATACGCTAAAATTTAAAAAATTACTCAAAATAGGTTTTTTTGGAAAGTCATTTTGCATGTAATAAGTTATCAGCTAACATCTAATTTACCAAACATCTTTCTACAATCAACTAATGTTATTTACTAGTCAAAGCCACTAACACAATCAGCTAACATCTATTTACCAAACATCCCAATATCTCATCACTTCTAAATTGACTTTGACCATTCTTTAGCCTCTCATTTCATTTTCAGAACAATTAGCAGCATTACTTGCAGATGTGGCCATGTGGGCTAAGGACCCCAAATTAACATTACATCTTTGTTGTTTTCCACTGGACTGGTCCTTTCATAAATCAAGATCTTCCAATTCAACTTTCCCCGTTTCATATATCTACCCTGCAATAAAATGACATCCAGAAAGGATAAGGGTGGAAGTTTCACAACATTGCTGATATTTGGGTGGAATTTTCTAGAGAGTCCTAGTTCTGAGTTCTTGTAGTGGAAGAAGGATTTTTTTTTTTTTTTTTTTTTTTTTTTTTTTTTTTGAGGGGGGATAAAGGGAAAACAAATGTAAAAACTATAAAATCTAGGCTAACACATTCCTATAGCATTTGCCACAAGTCATTAGCGCCTCTAGATTGTTCATCAGCCTCCAGGCTTACTTCTCGAGCATAGCGATATTAAACTCAAGCAAACGTCTAAAGCCTCGATGTAACAAAGATATGATAGTGAGTGTATGGGTGTACAATGTCGTTCTCAAAGTATTGAGAGTTATGGCACGCAATATGTAATAACTAACAATTAGGCACTAGGCTTAAGAAATTAACAAGCTAAGCAACCATAAACAAGACAGAACAAACATATATAAACAAGAGATAATCATGAAATAAAAAAAAATAAGACTCAAGTTAGGGATCACAATATAATAAATGCAAACACATCTATATGATCAGGAAAGAACACATAATCAAGGAATTGGGGAGATGCACGTAAAGATTCCAGTCTAAAAATCACTTTCGTGATAATCTAAACAAGAATTAGGACTAGGAATTGTCTCACTCTCATGGCGTATATATTCTAAGTCCTTCAAACACACTAAACATCTAATCCCCTTATTTCCCCTATTTTCATAGTGGAAATAGGGGGATTATGCAAGGAGTGGCTTAAGATCTTGACTCAACTCTCATTATATTGAGGTTAAAATCCTCCAAAAGATGCTAATGAATGTGGTCAATCAAACATTAACAATAATCAGACACAGTTCCTTCATAATCTCAAAAAACCCTATGTTAGGCATTTCTACCCTTTATCCAGTAATCAGAAATAAAACAACTAAATAGATTATACAACCCTAATTCAAATTCATAAACTAACTACTCATAATTTATATGTATAAATAACACAAAAGCACAAGTATAAAGCATAAATGAAAGAGATAAAAGGGAATTAGAACTTATCTATGGAAATGGAAGATCTAGATAAAGTCTTGAGATTCAAATGTAAATCCTTCAATACATGCTTTAAATATGTTTAAGAAGAACCTAATCTAAGCCTAATCTACCTAAAAGTATGAAAGGAAATGAAAGAAAGCAACTAGGGTTATTCTAGGGGTCGAAACCAAGTAGAAATGAGTAAAATTGCACTTAAATAAAAATGATTGCAGTATATTTTTAAAAAATACCCGGAGTATCGGGTTATCGATCCACAGAGAAGTGGGGTGTATCAAGCACTAGCTACTAATTTATTTTTGTGAAGCTAATCTTAATGATTATCATGGATGGTTGATTAAGCATAAAACTAATAAAGCAAAGTAGCATGTCTGAAAACAATAGAGAGAGAATGAGATTCTTGGGATCCAAGTATTTAATCACCTAGTACTAATCTTATGAACAATATTAAATATGGGTTTAAACAAGTGTGAGAATGCAAAGATGGTATAGAGTTACTCCCGTAATCTCTAACCCTAGTGAATATTCACTCCCGTGATATAAACACCCAACAATATAAGAACAAGCATTCATAATAAATTCCTAACTACTACCATCTCCTGGTGTGCAATAATCAAGAATTAAACTCCCTAACATATATGTCATCTCCCATGGTGCAACAGTTAAGTGCAATTGTGTGTACTTTCAATTATGTCTAACTCCCATTATGACATAAATAAAGCTATGAAACAAGTAATTCGAGCCCTGAACTACTAACAACAACAATATAATCACAATTGCAACACAAATATAAAACTCAAATAATAATATATTAAGAATCTGATAAACAAGGCACATAGGTTCATAAACACCTTTTACCCAAGAATCTCTAATGAAATTTAGCCAAACATGACTAAATTATACATATTTAATAACTTTATTAATTAAATTTATTGTAGACATTTGAAAGCGATAGTCCGTATTCTATCAACGACATAAATGAGATTCGAGAGTAATGGTAAAGTACTTCTTTTCGGAGTGCGTATAACTTTTGTTTTATTGATAAAAAGTATTTTGTTTTGATGATACTATTGAGTTGTGCATGTTTTAATGTTATTATTGTATTAACGTATGAGGATTTTAAGTATTATTGTGTTTTGATGATAGTATTTGCATTGTGTTAAAAGTATTGTGTTTAATTTGATGATAATGTTGTTGATAAATAAATTGTATTGTGGAGTACTGTTGATATGGATTTTAAGATATATATTTTAAGCTGTAACAGGTATAGGAATTATAAAAAAAAAAATTAGAGCTTTTAATTAAAATAAATTAAATAAAAAAAAACAAGTCATCCGCGACCATTCCTAGCTTAAAACGGTCGCGGATGATTGATTAATAAAAAAATAAATAAATAAAAAGGAAACGCGACCGTTTCTAGCTTTAAACGGTCGCGTATTACCTTAGAATTAAAAGAAAAACAAAAATAAATAAATACAATACGCGACCATTTTGGTCAAGAATAGTCGTGTATTACTGACAATGCGCGACTATTGGGAAACGGTCGCGTAAAGTCACGGACTTTACGCGACCCTCGCATAGGCGACTGTTGTACAACGGTCTCGTAATGTCTTTTACAACGGTCGCGTATCTGCAGTTTTGTACTACTGCCAAGGGATTTTCCCAAATCTCCCTAGCTTTCTTCATGCTTCCAAAGACAACTTGTAGCTCTTGATTCTCTTCTTTCTTGTCTCCAAAACACAGCATAGGACCTTTAGGGTTGAAGGAAGATGGGCCTTTTATAGCGGGAGTCAAGTACGGATAAATTAGGAAGTTTCCACGCCACTTTCCAAATTCTGATTTTTCTACTGTCTTCACGCACAATTTGCTGAAATTTCTCGACGCGTTGAGTTTGGCGCTGCATCACAGATTGTATCCCTTTGAGTCTTATTTCCAATGGCGCAAGAATCACTTGAATCGGACATTCCTAGAGTGAGATATATATGATCAAAATACCAAGGTGTTGCCAAATTCAGCGGGAATTACAACTCTTTGGTCTTTTGCTCCACTTTTCCCTTGTTTTGTTCTTGTGATCAAATTCATTGAAAGTACCACTCTTTGGCTCTCTTTGAAGAATTTTAGCTACCTCCTTAGCTTCACCTTGACTTTATTTTGGCTCCAAACTTGTCTTAGAACTTCTCTTGCTTTTGCAATTGACCTACAATGGTTCCAAAACACTAACAAACACCGTAAATCATTCAAAACAAGTGCAAACCATATCTTAATTAGAAAACAAGGGAATATGCAATTAAAGTAAAAATTTCATGAACTTAATCCCAACAAATATATTCAAACTAACACAATAAACATGTACAATTAAGCTCACAATAAAAAAAATAGGGGATCGGATAGCTCAATGGGCGACAGCACGGGCATGAGAGCTCCTGTGTCCAACACGAGCAGTCCCATGGGTATGCAAGCACCTGTGGAACACCCCTCTCCAAACCTTCAAACTTTTTTGTTTCTCGCACGGGCTGGTACAGGCACATGGGAGCACCCGTGTGACTGTTAGCTCTGTTTTGACCATTTTAACGTCAGAATTATGTTGGTCTTGAGAGTGTACAAAGTCTAGGATGTGGGGGAGGGGGGGGGGGTTTGAATATACTTTTTCAAAAAATTAACTTAAAATATTTTCATATAGTTTTGTAAAAATGGCTTTTAATTAAAACATGTTTTTAAAAAGAGTGTCTTACCAGCTGGTTTGCTAGTACAAGTAGCGGATCGAAAGTCTAAGAATATTATAACACGTTGAGTCAGTTGAAAACGGTGTGCAAGTGTGTGTAGGATTGATTCAATCAGCAAGATAAACAAAAAAAGTTCTGAAAAGTGAAGTGCATAAATTAAAAGAGATAGACACAAAGATTTTTATAGTGGTTCGGTCAATCGCCTAATCTACTCTCCTCCTTATCATCTAAGGAGGTTCCACTAATATTCAATGTAACTATAGTGGAAAGCTACGCAATGTGTCCACAAAGCACTGCTAGCAAAGATTCCTTTGATCTAGAAGTCCCATCCAATGATCTTCAGCACTTGGTTCTCTACTCCAAGGGTCAGCTATGTAATCGCCTTGAGCAAAAAACCCTCCATGTAACACCCCGTGTTACGGCCTTCAATCCCGGATTAATTATTAAATTAATCCCGTTAATAATAATTAAATATGATTTAATTCGGTTAGGTTTCCTTTAATTAATTAATAAAGGTCCACCATGAACCATGGACCCTTGCCTAAATTAGAGTCCTAAGCCTATTAGGAATAAAGAAAGTAAACCCTTTACTATTCAGATTCTAATTAGGAATCCTAGACCTAGTTATCTATTATGAATAAAGGAAGTAGGCCTTTTACTATTCAGACTACGATTAGGATTCCCTTTAATTAATTAATATGGTCCACTATGGACCATGGACCCTTATCCCTAAACCCAATCCTTAGTTCCAAAAGGAATAG